GGAGGAAGATTTGGGTCAGGGGAGGAAGATTTGGGTCAGGGGAGGAAGATTTGGATTGGGGACCATCGAGCCAGCAGAAAAGCCCCCCAGTTTCTCGCCCAGCTGCAATCTCCTGCGGTCTCAGTGATGGTGCTGGGGCTCAGAAGGTGGGCATCCCCGCGTCCCCGCGTCCCCGCGTCCCCATGTCCCCGCCGGGGCAAGGCACAAGCCGCCCGTGCCCACCTGGAGCACTCCTGCTTGTAGATGTCGATGATGTTCTCCACCAGCAGGTTCCTCTGCAGCCCGTAGACGCCATGACGGTCCAGCAGCACCTCGTGGCGACACGACGGGCACCGGAACCGGCCCCCTGAAATCACGCTGCCCCGGCTCTGCCAGTACGGGTTGGCGGCCTGGGAGGGGGAGATGCACATCGGGGTGTCCATGAGCATCCCCACAGCACCGCAAGCATCCCTGCAGCGCTGAGAGCGTTCCCACAGCACCACAAGCATCCCGGTGACCACCAGCCCGGGCAGGGGGGGGGGCGGAATGGGCACAGGGACCCCCTCTCACCTGGAAGACGTCGTTGGCACACTTGCGGCAGAGATTGTGCTGGCAGGGCAGGATCACCACCGGCTTGCTGAACATCTCCAGGCAGATGGGGCAGATGAGCTGCTTCTCCAGGCTCTCCATGGGGCTGCCATCCTGCAGGATGCCGGCTTGGAAATCCATCGGCACGACGGCGTGCTCCTCTCACCCGCTCTTGGCTGCCGGCGGCACCCCTCGTCCTGCTATTTATAAGTCGCTCCCCGGTCACGAGGAGCCAAATCCCTACGCGGGGTCGGGTGTCCGGGAAAGCAGCACCTGTCACACGGGACTGAGCCATCGGGATGCTGCTGGCGGCGGTAAACAAGCTGGGGACAAGCTGTCCAGGAGGCCCTGCCTGCCCGTGCTGCGGCTACCGGCACGCCGAAACCGGAGCTGGGGGGATAAACAAGGCCAGGCTTTGCCCTGAGGCCAAGTGGCTGCACACCCCGGGGGGCAGCGTGGCCGGATCCTGGGGCTGGACCCCACAACGACATAGGGGTGGGGACATGGAGGGGCAAAAACCAGCCCCGCGGTCATTCAGACATTGTGATGGTGCCAGGAATGGGGCAGAGCCGCGGCCAGCAGCAGCGGGGGGTGGCTCATAAGGAGCATCTCCCTTTGCACTCCCAAAATGCGGCCACTGATGGGGCGCAAACACGCGCCTCGCCAGTGGGTCCCCAGGCTGTGCTTGGAGGGGAGAGGCAGCACCAGGGAGACGCAGTCCCCATGCCCAGTACGTGCACCAGGGTCCCCCCTTCCCTCCCCAGGAAGGGGTTAGGGGGCTCTTTTGTAACCCCAGATGCAGGGGCAGCCGCAGGGAGGGCTGCGAGAGCCGGCCAACCTCCAACCTGCCCCTCCGTTCGGTTGCAAAACCTGACCCAGAGGGGAGGGGGGAGGGCTGCGAGAGCTGCGCTGGTGTGCTTTTTTTTCGCACAGCCCCTCGGGACCCGCACCCGCCGGGGAAAACAGCCCTGGCACACGGTGCCCGGCTGGCGCAGCGATAAACAGGGTGTCGTGCCAAATGCCAGCGCCCGTCCACAGGGAGACCTGTAAATATTGGCAGCTGCACGAAGAGAGAGGGGTAATTATAGTGCCGTCGCCTATGGGTCACGCTGGCGGGGGGACAGGGTGGGGCGGGATGGTGGCTGCTGCTGCGCCCACAGCGACTGCGGGCAGGAGAGGACGAGTGCTGGGGTGCAGGAGTGTATGAGTGCACAAGTACAGGGGTATGTGGGTGCAGAGGTGCATGGGTGCAGGGGTACGTGGGTGCACAAGTGCAGGGGTATGTGGGTGCATGGGTAAATGGGTGCACAAGTGCATGAGTGCATGGGTACACAGGGTGCATGGGTGCAGGGGTATGTGGGTGCATGGGTAAATGGGTGCACAAGTGCACGAGTGCATGGGTACACAGGGTGCATGGGTGCAGGGGTATGTGGGTGCATGGGTAAATGGGTGCACAAGTGCACGAGTGCATAGGTACACAGGGTACATGGGTGCAGGGTGCACAAGAGAATGAGTGCATTGGGTAAGTGGGCACATGGGTGCAGGGGTATGTGGGTGCATGGGTAAATGGGTGCACAAGTGCACGAGTGCATGGGTACACAGGGTACATGGGTGCAGGGGTACATGGGTCCATGAGTACATGGGTATAAGGGTGCAGGGATGCATGGGTACAGGGGTACACGGGTGCATGGGTACACGGGTGCGCAGGCCCCATTTTTGCTGCAGCCAGTCCCCCCCGGGGCAGGGCAGCCCCACAGCTGTTTTGGGTGCTCCTTCCGGGCAGGCTCACATGTTGGCCAAGCGACTCTGCTGGGACCAGCCAAGCACATCTTGCAAAAATGTCCCCGTTTCGGCACTCGGGGCTCTTCCAGGGAGGTGCTGGCATGGAAGCAGGGCTGGCCGGGCACTCAGGAGGGCAGCGCGGGGGTCAGCCACCGACCGGAGCCAGGAGTGGGGCACCCCGATGTGCACCCACCCCACGCCCACAAGCTGGCCCTTGCCCGGGGGGTGGCATTGATTAACTAATTGCTTCTGGACTTGATTAAGGGGATTCGCGGGAATGGGAGGGGGGGGGTGTAATGCCCTGATCAGCTTTCAAAACCCACTAGGGGCTCATCGGCCCCTAATTGGCTTGGGGCAGCTTAGGCAGGGCCTCGAGGCACTAACCACCACCGGGCTCCTTCCCAATTAACCGGGGAGAGATGCAAGAGCGCGTTGCTCTGGCGGGAGCGTACCTGAACGGCCTCTGCTCGCTCTCTGCAGGCCTCCAAGCAGCGGCAGGCCCTGGCCCCTCCCAAAATGACTGCGATGGCC